CAAGGAAAGCTGAAGTAAGATCATAAGCACACTTGTGGTTTCACTTAGTGACTGCTTCGCTTAACCAAGTTGCCGGTCCCAGTTGTGGTTGCTAAATGAGGACTACCTGAGGACTACCTGTAGTTACAAAGCCTCCATTATCAGAATGCTACCTGTCACCTCCTCTACCTATCTCTAGGATGTTGCCTCTTCACCCAAATCTTTCCTGGGAAGGTTGGCATACTTTCAGACTGCACACCATGATCCAGCCTCCTGTAATTTTACTGTGCTGAAAAATGAGGATAATGCTGGTCTTTTGTACGGCAACATAGCAGCTTCCCAACTTTTTAGTTAAAAGACTTTTTTTTTTAAGCCTGGTGTCCAAAGCTTGGCAGAGGAGATATCTGTAGGCACACGTAGATCCTAAGATACGGTAATCCTAATTTAAAGCTATGAAAAGCTGGGGGGAAACTGCTGTTCTGTGTTTATAAGAGACTCGGCACCTAGGTGCCGTGAGTTGTATGTGGATCTTAACCCACCATAAGATCCTCTGGATGGATGATACGTAATTTGAATAAAGAAATTATGTTACTCCAGTAGACTGACAGTGAATAGGTAGCGTTTTTGTCAGAGAGACACTTCAATTATTTATATTGTTTGTAATCATTAAGCCCCAAATAGAAAAACCAGGAGAAATCCCCAAAGAATTGTTGCCTCATGAATCTCAAATTGAGTTGATATATGCACTGTTTACGAAATCTGTTTTGGAAATGTAGAAGTTGCCAGTTGAATGAACAGCCCCAATATTGCCTTCTTTTTCATATTTGCAGAATATATTAAAATGGCTGATCATTATGTCCCAGTGCCTGGAGGTCCAAATAATAACAACTATGCAAATGTGGAGCTGATACTGGAGATTGCAAAACGGATTCCAGTACAGGTGAGAAGGTGGAAATACAGAATTTACCAAATAAAGAATAAATGTTAGAGGTTTTGGTGACCTCATTCTGACATAGTTGTTTGCTTGGTTTTAGCTTAGCATGCTGGGTGAACTCTACCTGTTTTGGTTTGTAAACTAGCCTTTATTAAAACTTAACATGTAGCGTGGACCAAGTCAACTGCGGGTTATTTAATTCCATAATTCAACAGATCATGGCTTAGCTTGTTGTGAACTGGGCTTGTGATTGTCTGAGCTTCCTTGACATGGTATAGAAAGAGAAAGGTGTCTGGTTGCCTGTTAGCTGACCTGTTCAGATTATAAATGCATCTTTCCCAATCAGTGGTTACACTGGTTGGCAATTCTGGGAGTTGTACACTGGGCTCAGTGATGGTGAACCTTTTGGGCTCAGCGTGTAAAAAATTCAGGAAATGCCTAACTTGACTTTGCTGGCGTGTCACCCCCCCCCCGAACAAAAGAGAAACAATTCTTTACATATTCATTTATTTTTAAAAAATACAGTCCAGTCATGTGTGGTGTTATGTATTATATAAAGAAATGTCAAATGATTCCAAAAATGAAATACGAGTAAAACAAACTCAGTTTCTTTGGTAACTCAAACAGGGAGAACAGTTGTTGTTGAGTGTTGGTGAACACTGGCATGTCACCCAAAACGTTATGGTGTGTCACCTTTGACATACGTGTCATAGGTTTGCCATCACTGTCCTAAAGTCTGGCAAGGCATGGAGAAGAAACTAAGGAAAGATGGAGAAACAGGAATCTAGTTGTAGTAAGGAGAGGAAAATTGTCCATAAATGCTGTAGCTTAAAACAACACCATTCATTATCTGGGGAAAGCCCAGGTTTGACCTAACTCTCCATGCTGTGAAAATCTTTAGGAAAATAATACATTGAGGGAAATTCTTCCATTTCTCAAATTGCTTAGTGGGGATTAAGCATGGAATGTGAACTGTCCTGAGCAAAATATGGAAAAGTTGTGAAAAGGGGAAGGAGCGTAGTATTCTAGATGAGAATACAGTTGATATCTTGGAAACAAACAAAAATATTTCTAGATATTTTAGAAGTGTGTGAAAAAAATTATGTGTGTATTAGTCCTGTTGGTATTACATACATGCTCATATCTGCTTTGGTTTGGAATTGAGTGAAAAACATGCCATTCTATGATGCATGAAATGTTGTCAGCTTCTGTACATTCCAATGAAATGAAATAAATTGTGGAAAAGTTGCAGTCACAAATATCTTCCTCAATTTGTTGTAGACCTCTTTGCAAGGAAATCTGACTTCCTTTTTTCCAATTCCAGGCAGTGTGGGCAGGCTGGGGCCATGCCTCGGAGAACCCCAAACTTCCAGAACTGCTCCACAAAAATGGAATTGCTTTCATGGGTAAGGTCTTCAAAGTTTGTCTGAAGTTGATCCAATGAGTCTAATATAGCAAGGGACAGCATGGGTCCTACCAGAAGACAACAACAGCTACAGTTAGGAATGGAATGGCTCTTCTGATAATTGTACTTTGATGGTTCTTCAAAAGCAGAGGGTGTTGAAAAAGGAAAGGAGGCAGCTTGAGAAAAAATCCAGAAGGAATAGAAGAAACTGAGGAATACACCACTATTAAGGAAATGGTGGTTGTAGGTGGGACATCTAGGAAAGCAAAACTAATAGAATTGAGGCTGCAGGAGTAGATGGGGCAGACATTGTAGAAATTACAGAGGGAGAAAAAAAAAACATGTCAGGAAAAACGGAAGAGGAAGAGGTGGAGCCTATAGTTCTGGCTTCTGAAAAGCATGGAGATGCAACAGTAGAGGGATTAGGAAAAGCTTCAGATGAGGCCATAGAGGAAAAACAGTTGGTGGCTGCTCTTATGAAAGTAGAAGCCATATTGAGAAAGGAAAAAACCTAGCCCTACCTGTTGTTGAAAAAAAAGAAGATATTGCAGAATAAGAGGTGTTTGGTTTGAAAGGGAGGGAAGCATTGAAATAATCCTTGGTTTCAAAAGAAGCTTTATTTTCAGCTTCAGTTGTCTTGGAAGCTGAAGAATAAAATGAGGTTGCTGCTAAGGTAGGAGAGGCGGAAGAACAAGATGATGTGATGGAAGAGGGTGAAGAGGTAGAAGGGTCAGAAGAGAATGACAGAGCCGAGGGAGATAAAGGAAGTGATTGATTGTTTGATTGATTGATTGATTGATTGATTGATTGATTATGTGCCATCAAGTCAGTGTCAGCTCTTAGTGACCATATAGATAGATTTTCTCCATGATGATCTGTCCCTAACCTGGTCTTTTAGATCTTCCAACGGTGCCCCCATTGCCACTGTAACTGAGTCCCTCCACCTTGCTGCTGATCCTCCTCTTCTTCTCTTTCCTTGTACCTTTCCCTGCATTAGAGCCTTTTCCAGAGAGCTGGGTCTTCACATAATGTGTCCAAAGTAGGATAATTGGAGTCTGGTCCATTTGTGCCTTGAGTGAGAACTCTGGGTTGATTTGTTTGATGATCCATCGGTTTGTTTTCTTGGCTGTCTGTGGTATTCTCAGGAGTCTTCTCCAACACCAAAGTTCAAAAGCATCAATACTTTTCTTATCCTGCTTCTTCAAAGTCCAAAAGAAGGAAAGATGGAAAGAGGAAGAATGAAGGAGATGAAATTGAAAAGTTAGAACTGGCCCAGGTTATGCTAGCTTTGACAGCTCATTTGTTCAGGCTCATCTGAAATTAGTAGAAGTTAGCATCAAATCCAAAAACTATATCCAAGATTTCTCCCCCTGCCCAACTCATCAGCAAAAGTATATAGAAGTTGCTGATTTGCAGGGATTTACTACCACTGTGGAAGCTGGCATGATAAGCAGCATGCTATTCAGTAAACCAGTGCAAGTCATTGAAAAAAGACCTTGCCTGCTGAGCACTTAAAAACAAAAGGGGAGGAACCAGCATAGGATTAGAAGGAAATATTAGAATTTAAGGGACTAAGTTAAGAAGAATTTAAGGGACTAAGAATTTAAGGGACCAGAGCTTAAGATGGAAAATTAAAA